TTTTTACTTCTGAATAAAATTATTCAAAATTTCAATTATTTTTCAGAAAAATAATAAGTTAATAAAAATTGAGAATAGATATTTAAATATTTTTACAGTTTTAAAATATAAATTTAAATTTTCCAAAATAAAATCTCTTGAAATTTTATTATTTCTAAAATTTCATACTATAACGTTTTTAATATTCAAATATTCCCTATCTAAAATTTTAACGAAAATTAATTTTTAAATTAATACTTTTTAGAAAAATCTATCAGAATTCAATTATTTAAATAAACAAAAATAAATAATTGATAGAATAATTGATTATTTCTTAAAATTGAACACATACAAAATTTCAACAAAATTTTAAAAAATACTTGATATCTTTCGACGAATTTTAAAAAAATTTTTTTAAATAATTACATTTTTCGAGGGATACATTTGAAATTGAATTAAAAATAATTGTAATCCCTCGAAGAATTTTATTATTTATGAAAATAATTAAATTCTTGAAACGAATTTTATTATTTATGAAAATAATTAAATTCTTGAAACGAATTTTATTTAATTTTTTTTAAATAATTGAATTCTCGGCATGAATTTTATTATTTATGAAGATAATGTAATTCTTACAAATAAATAAAAATTTATTTAATTTTTTTAAAAATAATTAAATTCTTTTCGAAAATTTATTATTTGTGAAAATAAATGAATTCTTTCAATAAAAAGAAGAAAGTATCTTTTAGTGTTACAATTCTTAAAATAGTATCCAAATAGTAGCTAATTGTAAAAGAAGTAGTAAATAGTCGGTTTTAGTAGAAACATTTTTGCCTTAAGTACAAAAAATTTATAGATATTTAAAAAAATTTGAATTTAATACAAAAATTTGTTGACACTTAATTAAATTCTTTGAAATTTGATACAAAAATTTGTTAATAATTATGTGTATAAATGTATAATATGTGAGTTGTAGGTATTTCTCCGAGAAATGTTTATACAATTAAAACCACAAGGCACAAATGCCTCAAGAAGCATACATTCTATATATATGCATTCTGTCTCTTCATGTCAGAATGGTAAATAATGCAACGAAATCTGCATTTACGTTTGGTAATGTTGCATAAGGTAGAGTTATGTAAAGTTTAGAATATTTCGAGAGGTTGACTTTCTGTAAAAACTTAACGATATTGAAAATTTTACAACAACTTGAAAATTATTTCTCATTTCTATTTCTCATTATATTCCTTTAAAATTCGTTTGACTGAAAAATACGATTAATTAACTAAAAAATTGTTTAAAAAAATAGTTATAACGATGACTTAAAAAAAAGATTTTTTAGCCTCATATGATGGTTGGTAGGGTTGGAGGACAAAAGTTCCAAAAAAAAAGTTCGATTTTGTAATATCTTTTTATTATTTGCATTATTTATTTATATGTATTAAATTTTTATATTTATTTCAAAATATGTGCCAGGGAAAGTTAGAAGGGACCTACGGTCCGAAAAAAAGGTTTCGAGAAAAACGACTTCAAAGTAACGAGTGTCAAACTCGTTAATTAATAATTAATTTTTAGAAAAGTTCTTCAGATTTGATTTTTTTTGTACTTTTTTTTGCGAAAGCTTCTAACTTTGGAGTGAAAATGTGAAAAAATTAATGCAGCTAGAAATGCTTAATTTGGTACTTGCGTACTTTAATATTTTCAAATTTGGAAATTATTTATATTGGAAATTATTATTTTGGAACTTTTCCACTTTGGAACTTTTTTAAATTGGACATTTTGTATATTGGAACTTTTTCATATTGGAACTTTTAGATTGGAACTTTTTCATATTGGAACTTTTAAATTGGAACTTTTGTCCTACAATCGGTTGGTAGCAATGGTTGAAAAAATAATCACCAAAAATATCCAAAAAACAACTGCTTTATGGATATTTTTGGTGATTATTTTTTATTAAAACAAAAATTAGATAAAGTATTATGATCAACTGCTATTAGATAAAAATACAATGGGTTAAAATTAAAATTACCATTGATGAAAAGTACCAGAGATTTAAACAACCATTAGTTTAAAGCCCTGGTTTAATCTACGATTGGTTATTATTACCATTGGTTAAAATCTTTACTGCCTAAAATTACAATTTGCTGAAATTATCATTGATTAAAATTACAAATGGTGAAAATTACCGTTTGTCAGAACTACAATTTTTTAAAATCGCTTTATTGACTTTTAGACAATCAGTAATAATTTGAACTAATGTTAATAGTAATTAACCATAATTATACTTTTAACTAATGGCACTTTAAATCTCTGGTACTTAATCCATACTATTACAGTAATAAGTTAATTATCGATTGATGATAAACATCGCATTGTATTATAAATAGAAATTTATTTAGCAAAGTTTATTAAAGGTTTTTTATATCAAGATATAAATCAATATGTGAAAAAGTACAAGTTATTTTTATTTATATATATATATATTATATATACACAATCTATTGACATTTGATGGACAAAAAAAGAAAGAATAAAATAAATAAAACGCGATATCGATAGTTCACTGACTGGAACTCTGTTTGAAGAACGTGCTCAAGTTCCCACGTCTGTTTCATTGCCTTCAACAATGAAAAGAATTCTACTTTTTACCACTGATTTCAACTGTGCTCACTGTCTCTCTCTCTCTCTCTCTCCCTTTCTTCGTCTCTCTCCTTCGTCTATACATTGCTTAATAAAAATGACTTCAAACTCTTAAAAAACTTGAGTTTCTCATGAAAACTTTAAATTTACGAGATAAAGATAGATGTGTATATATATACATATGGAGTCTCTTGTTTTATTAGAGTCATTAATTTGCATATTACATTCAAGAAAATACCGAGTATTACATGCTTTAAATCATACTGTTAATAATAAGCTTCTGAAAAGTAGTATGAAAACATAATGCGAGATAAGTTTACGTTTCCTTCTTCAATTTTGTATAGATATAAAAGAGTGTGTTTATATATTTGTAGATATGCGCTGAGAAGAAATTTTGTGCTTTTTAAATTTACTTGACTAGTAATTTGAATTAGTGTCTGAATTTTTGCTTTTGAATTAGTAAATTTTACTAATAAATTAGTAGAAATTTATATTTATTAATAAATTAGTAAAAATTTATATTTATTAGTAAAATTTACTAATTCAACAGCAAAAAGTCATAGTCATTAATTCAAATTACCAAAAATTTTTACAAATTCAAATTTAGAGGGTATAGGAAATAATTTTTTTGATAATGATCAAAAACATTATTTTTTATTTATTTAAAATTAAAATTGATTTCACTAAAGTTCTGAAAGTTCAAAGGAACGAAACTTTTTTTCTCTTCGAATCCAAACGGCGCCGAAAGTTTCCTAAAAGTTGAAATTAACTTGACTGCAACCTTCGGAATCTTTAGTTACAAAAGCTCATGAAAAACTTTGAGGTAATTCTTTAAATGTCCGCTGTTTTTCAATGTTTGACGTGAAATTTGACTGGACATTGTATATATGAAAGTTGAAGAATTTAAAAGACAAATTCAAGAAATTTTAAACTTTTATGCACAACGTTCAGTCTGCTTTTATATGCCGCAAAAGTGGATAATGCCATTGATAATAAATAATTCTTAAAATGATTTGTTGTAAAAATTAATAACTAATTTAATTAAATTAATTATTTTAATTAAATTAATTAATTATTTTTAATAATTAATTTTAAATTTAATCGTGAATTATGAAAAAGGGTTATCTCCGAAAAATTGTATAAGAGTTATTTTCACATAATAGTTGTTAGTGAAAATGACTCTTATGTATGCTTATATATATGCTTCAATTTATTCTTTTTAATAGTTTCTTATGGAATAATTTGTCTTCGGTTACAATTTATTACATTGTAAAAGGTCGGATTGTTAGTTTTTTTAAATATCACTTTTCAAATTGGATCTGTATGTTAAAAAACCACCATTAGTTTCTAACGAGATGCTTCGGTTTATTATAGGCCCTTATATATTCAGAGATTGTTTGCGTGTTAACGAATTTGATAAAACTATTTTTTATATCAAAGGTAATAGTTAAAAAAAGATTTTTCTCTCAACAACAATCGTTATTATTGTTAAAAAAAATATTTTTAGCTTTTTCAGTACATTTTTTTTTAATTACGATTCAATTGGTCAAATTTTTTTTTAGTACATTTTTTTTAACTGATTCAAATATAGACAGTATGGACATCTAAGAATTAGTAACAGTAAAATAATATAATAATAAAAGTAAAATATTAATAACAAAATGTTAATAGTAAAATAGTAATAGTAATATATTAATAACAAAATATTAATAGTAAAATAGTAATAGTAAAATAGTAATAGTAAAATATTAATAACAAAATATTAATAGTAAAAAAGTAATAGTAAAACATTATAGTAGTAATAGTAAAACAAGTAGGAAGTATAGAATGTTAATAAATAAATATAAAATTAATGAATATAACTTAGTTTGAAAATTTGTACCAGGGTCAAAAAATTATTTTTAATTGAAAATTGTTACATATAAAATGTTAAAAGCTACTTAAAAAATATTAACTACTTGTAAATCATTATTTACATTTTAAATAATAAAAATAATTGAGATTATTTTTATACTTGTTATTTTATACAAAAAACTGATGACAAGAGCATGAAAAATTAAGGCCATGTATAAACAATATTTAAAAATATGGACGACTAAAAGTCCAACACTATTTGACCTTAACGTTTACAACAATGAATTTAGTAAAACGAAAATTTATAATTTTTGATAATAATTTTTTTCCATCATTCTTAACAAAAGATAAACTAGTTATTAATTTTTATTAGTTATCATCGTTATCATTTATCAGTATTTAAGGCCTCCGAAATCTTGAAATAACGTTCACTGACAGAACGGCGATCTGCAATTTTCAAGTTACCTTGTGTTCATCTCACAGTTTGCTGCTCTCACCGGAAGAGAGCGCACTTCGTGTGTTCCTCTCCTAACTTATCCTAATGTCATATGGGTGCCAGTGTATAAATTTCGTTCTCTTAAATTCGTCTATTTTTCTTACATAATTTAACATCATAAATGTTAATTACAATATTAAAAAGTTAGTAGTGAGTGTTCAAAATGTACAAAACGTTGATAAACTTAAAAAAACTTTCGTCTTCAACAAAAACATTGTGCAGTGTTGAATCAATACTTGATTCTGTGAAAATCGGTGTCTTACCAGCTTTGAACATAACCTCGCAATATAGTGATAAAGCATCTCATAAGAGAGATTATTTGGTTAATAAGAAAAAAGAAGAGGGTACAGATGGAGAAAAGCATATTGATATTGATTATTTAGCGAACAGGTAATTGAAATTAAATTCTAGTTTCATTCTTTTCTAATTAGAAATTAATTTAAAAATTATACATTAAATTTTCTATGATGTTTTTATTCAATAATTTTCGTCTATAAATTTTCTTTCTTTTCGCAGAGCTAAAATGTTTCCTGACAAAAATACACCATCACTTTTGTTTGATGGTGTTCCTTTTTCACAATTGCCGATTTGTTTTATTAGAACATCGCCTAATAATACAATTATTTCGGTTGCTGATTATGACGGTAAGCAATAGAGAGATGATACACAAGTTTTGAACTTTCAAATGAACGAAATTTTTTTTTATTAAAAATATTTTCATAAATTACTGGTTGCAATAAAAGTAAAAAAAATTCAAATTTCACTTAGAAACGTAAAAAATTGAATTTTATTTCTAGTGATGCAAAATTATTGTAATAAAAATTTAATTTGAGCTAGAAATAAATAAATTTCATTCATTTGAACGTTCAAAACTTTAGGACCATGTAGAGAGTATAGAATATTTTTCACTTATTCGTTTTTTAGTTTTGAATGAAAAATAAAACTTTGGTTTGATTGGTACATGTAATTAAACCAATAAAATAATAATTAGAAAGAAGTAGTTAAAATAGAATATTTCTGCAAATAAAATCTTTTGAAACAAAAGTTTTTTTGTTTCTTAAAAAAAACTCTATTAGTTGCAGAAATATTTGTTTAATTTATATACTATTGTTTTGTAAATTATCTAATATTTATTTTTTATATAAAGTTAATAAATGACAATAATTGACAAAATTAATTTGACGAATTTAAGGCAAAGTAATGCGAACAAATAGCTGTGGATTAGAGGGATACAAAAATGCTAAGAAAGGTACTAATATCGCTGCACAACAAACTGCCATAGCGATTGGCACGGTAAGTAATTTTTCTTAAATAAAAATTAACCTTAAAAATAGTTTTTTTATATAAAAATTAAGAATACTTTTATTATAATTTATTATTATACAAATTTTTCTCTAAATCTGAATTTGTAAAAAGTTACTAATTAAATGACGAAAAGTCGACCATCAAATGGTTTAGTAATTTTACGCGTATTCAGTAGAATTTTACTACTTGTTAGAATTTTACTAACAATTAGTAAAACATTTATTAAGAGTCTATAAAACAGTTTCACTTATTTATTTAGTGAATTTTATGATTAGTAGTTAGTGGAATTCTACTAAAAAATTAGTAAAATTATACTAATTTACTAAATTTTACTATTAGTCATATTTTGCTAATTTACTATTTTTTAGCAAAGTTTTACTAATTTGGATTTAGAAAATTTAGAGAAATTTTAGAAAAAAGTATAGAATTTAGAGAACACTAACATAAAAAATATTTACAGTTGAAAACATTTGCAATTTTCAAAACTAACTCTGAATTTCAAAAGGTTTTAAACTAAAATTCTTTGGAAATTTCAATTATTTTGAAGAAATTAATGAATAATAATTAGTTATTTATTTAAAATTCTCAAAAAATTAGGTATTGGAAATATTTCAATTTTATTGGTTAAAGAGAACTGAATTTTTATAAACAAGTAATAAATTGAAAATTTTTTGAAATAATTGAAATTTCCTAAAATTCTATTAAAAATAATGGATTTTTTAAAAAGAATTTTACTGAATTTTTTTTAAGAATAGTTAAGAAAAGTTAATCAAAGCTTTTGTTTCTAGAAATTATTTTCCATAATTAGTAAAACTGTTTAAAATTTTAAATTATTTAAATTTAATATTTAATGAGTGAATAGCTACTTTATTTAAATTTAAATTTCTTTAATTAGGAATCAGTGGAAAATTTAATATTTTGTCTGTAAATCAAAGAGAAATTTTTATATAAACCCTGAACATTATTTTTTAAAATAATTCTTTCTTAAGGTAAAAACATAAATAATTGTTTGTTAAAGTAAAAATATATTTTGTTTTTACAGAAAACTGTAAAGAGTGGTATTAAAAATGTCAGAGTTTGCATTAAAGGTCTTGGCCCTGGTAGAGGGGTAAGTGAGAACTGTTAAAATCTATAAAAATCATAAAGCTACCAAACTTAAAAAAAAAAATTATTAAAAATGATTTTAAAAGAATATAATAAAAATTCCTTTGTATTTTAGTCATCTATAAAGGGTCTTGAGATGAGTGGATTGAACATCATATCAGTCACTGACGTCACTGGCATTTCTTGGAATCCACCGAGACCGAGGAAGGTCAGACGAGTTTAGAATAGACATTTGAAATTGCAATTCTTAAGAAAAATGTGAAAAGTACAATTTAATACTGTATAAATGATTTATTAAAATTTACGTCTTTTCATCAAATAATTTACAATTTTTAAATTTTGTCACGAACAAGGAAAAGTGTTTAGACCCCTTGTAAAATCCTATTTTAAAATATAGGGGTGAATGTGGGGCAAAACCGGGTAATTTATGGGAATTTTGTGTTTACAAAGAATCGAATAAACTAATTATTTCGTTCATTCGATTTCTTTGTAAACTCAAGATTATTATGTAAATCACCCAGAATTCAGAATCAGAATTCTTCATTAAACATTCAATTACGAGAAAAATTAGGATAATTGCGGAAAGAGAATTTTTTTTCAACAAATTAGACATATTTTCTGAAAGAGTGCAAAACGTCCGGTTTTGCCCCACCCTTTGGGGCAAGTGGTGTCAGAAAATTTATAAAACAAGATTTTCTTTAATAATAATAATAATAATAATAATAATCTGATAACTTTTGTAAGAAAGAACAGATCCCGTTTATAGTAGAAATAAATAATATATATAATAAATAAATATTATACATGAAATGAAAGTATAAAGGAAGTTTTTCGGTGTGAGAAAAAGCGCTGGGAACTTTTGCTTCCAGTTTAATAACGTGTTATAAGATAGACAAATTGTGATCACTAGCACAAACTACACTATGAATATGTGCATGAAAATTGTTCGATCAGCTTCTATGTTACTCCTGGGACAAACTGCTACCCTGAGTAATTAACTATGATTGCGCAAGGATTCAAAATAGACACTAAATTTGTGTCGTTAAAATAATGAAATCCCTGCGGAGCACCTAAACTTGTATATCACCGATAACCAACAGTTTCAGCTTCTATGATATATACATATGTATATGGATATATTCTATAACCAGAAATCTGTAAATCTAAAGAAAATATCATGTTCCTTTTATTTTTTTATTTTTTCAACGAATAAAAACAAATATTTATCATTTTATCTCCATGAAATCAGGTCCGATTGGTAAATTGAGTAAATATCAAATTTTTTTTTATCAATTTACTTATTTATTCACTTTTTTATTAATTTATTTGTGACGCGCTCCGAAGAAAGGTACCGAAGAAGTAGAAAATTTTAGGTTATGTCAGTAATTTTTTGAATGAAATTACAGAAAAGGGATCAACTCCTAATAAAAATTACAATAATGTTAATTAACTTTTCATTTACAGCTTATATAGTTAATAAGAATTGATTTTAATTTTATACAATTAAACATAAGTTTTTAATGAAGATAAAAATAAGACAAACATAACCTTAAAATAGTTTGCTTTATAGGTTTTCATTTATTTATTGCTTTATTTATTAATTTTATATTTACACGAAGAAAACTTTCTTTTTCATTGAAAGTTGCATTTATTTTTTCTTTATTCAGATATTTATCGACTCATTTATTTATCCTTTTAATCAAAAGTTGCATTTATTTTCTCATAATATACAATCAATAATAATTTAACATTTCTTGACTAGACATTTTTAAATTACTATAGAGGGGAGAAAAAAAATTATCTTACATTTCTATATATATTCATTTTCTCTCATTTACATATTTACGTCGTAAAATCTAGTTCATATCACAGAACGCTCATAAATAATTTAAAATTTACATTCTAATTGCAACAATTTTTCTGACAAAATTGAAGTTGAATTTGGATTATAAATTTCGAGTGTTACCTATATATTATGAGACTGAATTTAAATTTTTTCGTTAAATTAAAGTCTTTCTTTTGAAAATTTGTAGGAAAATTTTTGCAATTATTATTCTAAAAAAACAGGGACCTTAATTTTTTGCTGTTATCGACAAATTCTACTGCAATGAATTTAGAGCAAAAATTTCTTTTCAACTAAATCATTGGGTGGAACTTTTAAAATGTATCTTATTTTTGATACAAGGTCAAAAATTGATAAAAAAATTTAAATATATAAAATTAAATAAATTAAAATTAAAATACCAAAATAAAAATGAAAATTGTATCACTGATGATCGGACATAAATAATTATAAACTATAGTTGTATTTAAATATTTCAATAATGGTGATGTTTCCTAAATGTTTATATAATAATATGTAGTTAATATTTATTAAATTATATGTAGATATTATTTATGTATAATAATTACATTGAAAAAAATATTTGAATTAAATAAATGATTAACTGTATACTATCAAATAAATATTTATTTGTGTCAAATAATTTTTATTTAAGTCAGTTAAATGGTATTTGCTTCAATTACTAAATTTATTGGGTGAATTGCAATTATTATTTTGAAATTATTGGACTCAAGCAAATATTTATTCGATAATAAACAAGTAATCGGTTATTAATTAGAAAAAATGTTTACTAATTTGAATTAGTGAATAACTATTTGCTTTTGAATTAGTAAATTTATTAATAAATAGTAATTTTTACTAATTAGTAGATTCAAATTAGTCAATTTTACTAATAAATTAGTAAACATTTTTAATAATTAAAATTTATACAGAAAATAATTTTTTCCAGTGAAATACTAATTAATAATATTTTTATAATAATTATTAATTAATACTGTTGACCATATTATTATTAATTGTCTAACTAACTAAGTGACTAGTTAATAACTTCAATTTAAAAAAAATTAATTTATCTTTTAAATTAATTTACTTTTCTGAATTCTCCTTTTTTCTTTTTCGACGAATACTTGATTTATTTACAGTCGAACCTGTCTGAATGCAACACTATTTTAAAAATTTGTTTGTATTCAAAAATGTCCAACAATAATTATTTTCCCTTAGTTCCAGAATATTGTAAAAATATTACAAAATTAAATTATAAAACCATTTTTTAAGGATTGTTTATTTTATTTTTAATTGAAAAAATCAAGTTGCATTCCGATAGGTCTCACTGTCAGGGTTGCCACAGGTCAGGAAAATGAGGGAAAAGTCAGTGATTTTTATTAAAGTACTGAAAAAAATTAAAATTTGCAGAATTCATAATTAGTTTTATTTCATTTTTTAATATATATTTAATTAATTATTAAAAATCATGGATTTATAGAAGGATTTTTAGTTAAAAACACTAAAAAAAATGGTATTTCAGAGAAGTTACAAATGTTTACAAAAATTCAATTTTGTTCAAACATTTAAAAAACTTCTAGTCAAAATTTCAATTATCTTTAAAAATAATAAAATTCTTCTTCTCCAAAATTCAATTATTTTTATAAATAATAAACATTTCACAGGAATTCAACTATTTACAAATTTTCTATAAATTTTTTTACAATAATTCAATTATTTTCATAAATAATAAATTTGTTTGCATAGATTCAATTATTTTCATGAATTTATGAATAATAAAACTTATCATAAAATTTCATTTATTTTTAATACAATTTTAATCAAAATCCTCGAAAAGTGTTTTTATTCTTAAAAATTTTATTAAAATTTGGCGGAAAAATTCGATTATTTAAAAATTTGTTGATAAAATTCTTTATGAGAATTCAATTTTAAAAAAAATTCATCTATTCAATCATTTTTTCATTTTTGTATTTAAATAATTGAATTCTCATAGAATTTTCTAATAAAAATTGTTTAAAAAATTAATTTCAGATAAAATTTTATTATCATGTAATTTATTAAATTTTTTTAAGTAATTTAAATCCTATGAAGAATTTTATTATTTAGAAAAACAATTGAATTCTTGCAATGAATTTCATTACATTTTTTTTAAATAATTGAAATCCTGTGAAGAATTTTATTATTTAGGAAATTCTTGCAAAAAATATTTGAAAATAAGAACATTTTTCGAGGAATTCATTTAAAATTGTATTAAAAATAATTTAAATCCTAGGGAAAATTTTATTATTTATGATAATAATTTGAATTCTTACAACGAATTTTATTTTCATTTTTCTGAATAATTGAATTGATGTGAAAAATTGTATTATTATTATATAATATATATATATATTTTATATTATATATATATTATATTATTATTATTATTATTATTATTATTATTATTATTATTATTATTATTATTATTTTATTGTACTTTTAAAAATAATTGAATTCTTGCGAAGGATTTTATTAAAATTTTTGTAAATAATTTAATTTTTTTTTTTTGAAAAATTTTATAGAAATTTAATTTATTATAAAACATGAAGATAGCGATCACTGCGAGTCTTCGACTCGGAGTTATCGCTATCTTCATGTTTTATAATAATATTCTTAAAAGTTGTTAAATTATTTCAAAAGTTTTAAATTTGAGAATCATAATATTCTTTTGGGTCAGGGAAAAAGTAAAAATTTTGTCTGGAAATTAGGGAAAAGTTAGGGAAAAAGAAAATTAACTTTTTGTGGCAACCCTGACTGTATTATTTACTATTTGAATAGTAGTATTTTATAGTAGTTAAATAGTACATGTAAATATACTATTTAAATACTAGTGTTTTATTTCATTTAAATAGTGCATTTAAAAAATACTATTTAAATAGTGCATTTAAAAAAATACTATTTAAATAGTACATTTAAAAAAATACTATTTAAATAGTGCATTTAAAAAAATACTATTTAAATAGTGAATTTGAAAAAATACTATTTAAATAGTAATAAATTATTTACTATATTTAAATATTCTAAATAAATAGTAGTAAATATTAACAAGTATTATTTACAAAAAAATATATAAAATTTTATAATATAATTCCTATTTAAATATATTCATTAACTATTTAAATAAATATTATTAAACATAAAATAGTACTATTTTTATAAATATTCTAATACTTTAGGAATAAAATAGAACTTTGTGTACTATTTTATAATTTTCCTCTCACTATTCTTGGGAGCACTATTTCTCGGTTTTACGGAATAGCCTGTTGCACAATCCAAGGAATATATTCTGAGACTCGCGTATATATACCCGGAAGACGAGGTCGTGCACATCCAATTCCCGATGAGACCACCCCAACGACCATCGTACTACCGGAATGACTTCCGACCATCAAGGGTCCACCACTGTCAGCCTGAAAATTAAGTGCACAATATGGTTACACATATACAAAGTTATTAAACAATCAAAAAAGGAAATTGTCCCCTCCCCTCTACCCTCTATAAAACATTTCCCTATATATATCATTCTCCACTAAATTAAATCCTTTCATCTTTAAATTCCCCACAAATTGTTAAGTGAAAACATTTAATTGAAAATTACTTCCCCAAACTAACTCTTTAGAAAAACAAACTTGATTTTTCTCACTTTTTTCCTTTTTCTCTTCTTTTTTTCTTTCTTTCCTTCTCTTTTTTTGAATTTGAAATGATTTTAAAGACTCTTTGCAATTGTAGAAATAATTATATTTATATATATATATATATATAAATGGCAAATACACAAATAGTTAACAAGTTTTCCAATTAAAATGTACTCTATTTAATGAAAATGAGGATAGGAGAAAATAGGTCAATGGTGTATTTGTGAGTTATCGTTAACTTGATGCATTAATTCCTCTTTCCGAATGGTGGAAAATTGAGTAATTCTATGTACTATCAAAGGTTTCATCGAACTGCTTCGTCATTTTCGTCGTGCAACGTCCACGGACTACATAATGCCGAGTTATATAGAATTCACGAGGGAAAAGCCTTTCGCTCGATTCACCGAAACTGCTGCTAGCCTTAATTGACTACGAGAATTTAGTGCTTGCGTAGGGAAGGACGTTTTCCTTGCGATTGCGAAAATTACTATCCCTCCCCCCCTCCCTCTTCACTACTATATACGTATATATATATATACATATAGTGTAATAGACAAAATGAGAAAATCGACCTCCTTGTCTTGTGTATATGTATATACGTTTATCTCATAAGTAATAACACACCGAGATCTTGTTTACTCCTACGAATTTCAAGATATAAGTTATTACTATTAGAGGCTTCTCATAATCATCTACTAAAACCTACCATTTACTGCTTTTTTAGAATTTGATACTATTTGCAGGCCTCGGATATAATAACATTTTCGACTATTTTCAAAAAATGCGACTTTTTTCGACTTATTTTCAAAAATTACCTCTTTTTCGACTTTTCTTCCGAATATTGTAATAATTTTTAGTATAAAATGCAACTTACTTTCGAAATTTACAATTGAAAAGAGTTTCAATAAATATTAAAATTTCGTCAAGTTTAATTGAAAATAATTGATTTTTTTTTAAAGTGTTTTATAACAATTTTTGAAAATCAACTTTTGAAGAATATTAAAAGCAAACTTTGAAAATACTTTGAAATTGAATTCCTCGGAAGAATTTAATTTTAAAAAAGTTTTTAATATATTTCGAATATATTCAATTATTTTCTAAAATCTTAATAAATCCTTCGAAACAATTCAATTATTTTTATAAATGGTAAAATTTTTCGCAAGAATTCAATTATTTTAATAAATAGTAAAACTCTTTGCAGGAATTCAATAATTTTCAAAACATATTTAATTGAATTTTTCTCGTAAGAATTCAAATATTTTTAAATATTTCAATAAAATACAATTATTTCCTAAAATTTTTAATAATTTCTTCAACACAATTCTAAATAAAATACTAAATAAATTTTCAAAATTTACAATAAATAAAAGTTTCAATAATTGAAATTTTGTAAAATTTAATTGAAAATAATTGATTTTTTTCAAAATGTATGATAAAAATTTTTGAAAATAAACTTTAAAAGAATTTTTAATTGCAAATTTTGAAAATAATTGATTTCTCAAAAATTTTAATGAAAAATCTTCAAGTGTAAATTTAAAAATGGTAATTAATGAAAATTAGCTTCAAAAAAATTATATTAAAATATTTTTGAAAATAATAATTCTTAGAATTTTTTGCATTCTAATTTTAAAAAATTCAATTATTTTCAATATTTTCAAATACAAATTTCCAAATTGACATAATAATAGTCAATTATTCGGTTATTTGAATCAAATAATTTTTTTTTTCAGTGTAAAAGTACTGGAAAAAAATAACTTTTTAGAATTTAGAAGAACATTCTAAATTTTCGTGTCTTTTTGTTTGCCTCATAAACTATGAAATTACCACGAATTCTAATCTCGATACGAATTCAAAACCTTCAATTTTTTTTATTTTAGTCAATAATTTCCTTTTAAATAACTTCAATCTTAAAAAATTATAAATATTGCTTATAAATTATTATTTAATGAATATAATTTTATTTAAAATTTCAAAAGTAATTGAATTTTAAAAGAGTTTTGTTTACAATTTTCATAAACGTCAAAAAGTTTTAATTTGAAATGGCATAAAATTTTAAGTTTTAGTAAATTAAAAATTTTAAAGAACTTAGATTTTTGAAAAATTTTAATAATTCCAATTCTTCTGAAATTAGTTAAATTTTTTAAATATATTCCATTGATTATTAAAAATAATGGATTTATAGAAGAATTTTACTTAAAAACACTAAAAAAAATTTGAATTTTGGAGAAGTTACAAATGATTATGCAGAAATTCAATTATTTTCAAAAGTAATAAAATTAATTGCAAAAAATTCAATTATTTTGAAAATTTTTTAATATTTCTTGGCACAAATTTCAATTATCTTTATAAATAATAAAATTCTTCTCTAAAATTCAATTATTTTCAAAAATTTAAATAAAATCCTTGTCAAAATTCCAATTATTTTCAAAAATTTCCTCAATTTAATGACTTTCAATAACTACGATTTTAATCAAATTTTCCTAAAGAATTCAATTGTTTAAAAAAAAAATTTCATAAAATTCTACGCAAACATTTAATTATTTTCATAAATAATAAAAATTTCATAGGAATTTAAGTATTTACAAGTTTTTTTTATGAATTTCTTGACAATGATTCAATTATTTTCATAAATAATAAAAGATAAAACTCATTGCAGAATTCTAATTATTTTTAATACAATTTTAATCAAATTCTTCGAAAAATGTAATTATTCTTAAAAAATTTATTAAAATTCGTCAAAAGAATTCAATTATTTACAAATTTAAAAAACAAAAATTCTTTATGTGAATTGAATCTTAATTCCTACTGAAAAATAATAATAATTAATTATTTATTTAAAAAAGAAGTTATTTATGTTTTTGAATATACTTTAACAAGTATAGAAATTCGTAAATAAATGTAATGCAACATTTTCTTTGAGTATCTAATCATTTTAAGAGTGAATCAGAGTATTCTTTAGACTCAGGAAAAAGTCAAAATTTTTGTCTAGAAAAAATACTGCTACAATAGAGCAGATATTTTTCTAGTATTTTTAGTCTAAAAAAATTATTCTTTCAAGAAAATAAATGTTTCGACAATCATAACAAAGTTTTTCTAATATCAAATTGAGACAAAAAACATATCAAAATTTTGCATCCCAACAATTTTTATACTTTTTTTGTCTCAATTTCATATCCTAAAAAAACTGAGAATATTTTTTATATTTTATTTATTTTTTTTTATTTTTTATTTTATTTTATTTTTTTTTATTTTTTATTTTTTATTTCTTTGATAGAGAAACAAACTAATATTTGTTTTTGATGTAAAATACAAAATGGATATAAATAATTATATTTTTTTCTTTTTTAAGCAAAAAACTTTCCAGTTGATGAAATTTTTCTCTTGTTGCGTTTAACATTACATCATTGAAAAGCGATTCATGATCAAAGGACGTCACTTGACTTTGCCGTTGCGATTTTAAAAGGAATTTAACAAAGCCTAGAAGGAAATCAAAGTAAAACAGGTGCTTGAAAGTTAACGACCCAATTTAATAATAATGAAACGTTTTACAGTATCTTGCATTTAAGGAAAGGAAAAAGGCGAAGCAAATGAAAAATGTTTCTAATTTTTCAGAAAAAAAAATTCTTCACGCAAGAATAAAAAATTAATTTTTTTCCCCTAAATTTTTTTTACTTGTATTCTTTGCTTTTTCTTTTTTCATTTTGGTTTCCTTTATTTTTTTGTTTGCTTTCTTTTATTTTCTTTTACTTTTTTGTTTTTTTGTTTCATTTTCTTTTACTTTTTTATTTTATTTTTTGTTTTTTGTTTTATTTTCTTTTACTTTTTTTGTTTCATTTTCTTTTACTTTTTTATTTTATTTTTTGTTTTTTGTTTTATTTTCTTCTACTTTTTTGTTTTACTCTCCTTTACTTTTTTTTGCTTTTTGTTTTACTTTGTTTTACTTTGTTTCCTTCTCTCTTTCTATTCGCTTATTTACTTTTAATTCTTTTTTTTTTGGAATATATTTTTTTTTTGCTTTTCTTTCCTTTCTGTTTTTTTAGTGATTGAATCAAAAACTTACCGAACATGAATCGCGTCCACCATCTTCATATCCGGCGCACATTTGTCCCGATACGACGCGAATTTTTTTCTCTTGACTGGCGTACCACTCGTTGCATACACTATTCTCCAAAACGCGAACATCAACTTTTTGCAGCACGTCCGCTCTTTTGTCTGAAAAACAACGACCTGTTTGTACGATGTTTGCAATCTGCTGTCACACGAGCTTTTTTTTGCTTTTTATTCTTTTTTTTTTATTATTGTGCCCCTTTCTTTTCTCTCCACTGTTCTATGAAATCTCGTCAAAACAAATGTTGCAGTTTTTTTTCCCAATTATATAACGAGCCTTAGGTGTGTGTGCGTGGAAAATTGTTTAAGTGACTTTATTTTGAATAAATTCTTTTGTTCACGTCGGAAATTAATTAAATTTTATATTCGGAAAATTTAACGAGTCTTTTTTTCTTTTGTCTCTATTTGTAGAATTGAAAAATTTCGAATCGAGGGGAAGGAATTTTTTTCTCTCTAATTGGTGCAATTTTGAAAATTTAAAAGGGATTCAGTGAAAAAAATTCCATACAATTTCTACATTTACTAAATATTGCGTGGGAATATATTTTTTAAACTAAGCAATCCAATTATTTTTCTTTTTCAATTTTTGTAAAATTTTCTGCAATTACGAAAGTTTTGCAGGAAAACTTGTAAAATATCTTCAATTAAAAATCTTTTAATAAAAATAATTTCTATTCTCGTTTTTCTTTAATTTATTTTTTTTATTTATTCTCATCGTTTCCAATATTACGAAAACTTTTTTTTAAGTAAAAGAAAAATAATCGGAATAATTGTTTATTAATTACATTTATGGAGGAGAAAAATGTTGAATATTAAAAACTCATGTTCGTGGGATTAAATCGATGGAATATATAGATATATATGTATTGAAAATAAAATCAGTGGCGATTTAATGTTACCTTTTGATTTATCTTCACCGAGCCAACCCCATCCTGCGGTTACTGCATCTTCTCCATTGAAAGCATCAAATCCAGATTTACCTGTTTCATGTGGCAAACATGCAGGCTGAACGCTTTCCGACCAGGATATGGAATTAGTTGTTTCCACAAGGGCCACATCGTTAACATAAAATCTACACTTAAATTCCGGGTGCATCGTAATTGTACTAATAGTTTCCACTCGTGCCGGCGGTGTTTCTGTTTGCTTCAGATTATGCTCACCCAACGTCACTTTAAATTGATTGAAATTTATTTTATCATATCCACTGGAAAATATAAAGAATTACTTGCAATTTTTCTTTATTTAGAGAGAGAAATTATTTTTCAATTTCAATTTTTTTCAATATTATTCGTAATTATTTTTCATTTTTCACTACTATTTGTAGCTAAAATAACGCGAGTGTTGTTTTTCATTCTAATTTTAATAGATATTTAACCGTAATTAGGCTAATTACTATTATTAATTCTCCTTTTCTTGTAAAAAAACAAAATTTTATTATGATCCATTATTTTTAATAATTAATTAACAGTAAGAAAATTTATTGACAGAAATAGAAAAATTTGAAGGTTTTTTATTAGAATTTGTGGTAATTTCATAGTTTATGAGTCAAACAAAAGAAAAGCAAAAATTCATGATTCTCTTATGGAATTATAAAAATTTAATTTTTTCCAGTACTTTTAATAAAAATCCCTGACTTTTCCCTGAATTCCCTGTATCGCAGAATATATGATTATAAAAGTTATAATAGTATTAAAAAACTATATTCCAATTAATATTTTATTTTTATGAAACAAATTTTGAATTTAATATTTTTAAATTATATTATTTTTAAAATAGACTACAAGTGTGGACAAAAAGAATGAATAAAAATATTTTTAATTATTATAGATATTATAAATAATAATAATAATAATAATAATTTTTTTTTTATTATTTGCAATTATTGTCCAATAAAAATATTTCCATTATTTGTAATTATTTTCACCAATTTTTCTATTTTCATTATTCGACATGTAAAGGAAATTAAATTGAAACAAAAAAAATTGAAATAAAAATTTACAATGAAAGTTTCAAAGATGAAAAGATTTAAGTTGAGGTTTTAAAGAAAGAGAGGAAAAGAAAAACAGCTGACAACTAATTATCATGAAAATTAAGTGCAGTGCTTTTTTTTTTCTTTCGCTGAGAGTTTACATCCTTTTCATGAGAGAGAGGATCTTTGATGGGATGAAGTCTTAGTAATTATTTAACTAGGATTTTTACTTTTTATATGTGTATACATATATATATGTATATAGAAACGACACGAAAGCCTTTCTTGGACAGACGACTGCTCTCTGTGAGACTTTGGCTTTGGTTAATTAATGGGCCTTACAAGTGCCTCTGAATAATTAACAAAATTACGACACTTTGGTGTCTCATCCCCTTTCTCTTTCTCTCTTTCTCCCTCTCTCACTCACTCTCTCGTTTCTGGTGTGCTCTCGAAGCCCTGATACTCAGCATTTCCAAAGTTCGAGTTCTGTTTCGTTGTGCTCTTTACAAAGCCACCTTTAATGGGCCCTTTCCATTCTAGTCGCGAGACGTTGCTATTGTTCCCGAAAACCCCCACGGATTATGCGATTTACTTCGTGATGCATCGTTTCTTCTTCCACATAATATAACCCGATTAACGTTAATTCGCGATTATTTCACACGTGCGAATGTCGCAAATTTTATTACATTTGGAGATTGCGTTTTGTTTTATTTAAATTACACTTTAAAGGTATTTTATTTCCTATTTTTACATTATCACCGCATGTGAAAGTATTACTATTGTTTTAATTGTATTCATTTTTCTAATAATAATAATAATAATTAAATAGTTTAGCAATTTTAAAAATAATAGAATTTAAAAATTTGTAATTTAAATTTTTGTTGAAAACACTAAAAAAATCCAATTTTGGAGAAATTATAAATAATTGCAGAAATTCAATTATTTTCAAGAATCATATAATTCTTCTCATAAAATTCAATTATCTTTCAAAGTAAAAAAAAATTTTCGTCAAAATCCCAATTATCTTTATAAATAACAAAGTTCTTCCCCAAAGTTCAATTATTTTCAAATCAATTTCAAATTCCCAAAAATAGTACACAAAGAATTTAATTATTTTCATAAATAATAAAAATTTCTCAGGAATTCAATTATTTACAAATTTTTTTATAAATTCCTTCGCAATAATTCAATTATTTTTATAAGTAATAGATTTTTTTTAAGGAATTCAATTATTTGTAGAAAATAATAATTGATTTGAAAAGATGAAAATAATTTTGAGAAAGTTACTGTAATAATATTCTAATATTTTCTATTTAATTTTAAAAAATTTGATTTAAAATAAATTTAATTTTAATAAATAAATACTAATTTCTACTAATTCATTAGTAAAATTTACTAATTCAAAAACAAAAAGTCAGTCAATAATTTAAATTACCAAACAATTTTACTAATTAAAATTTGGAGCTAGTACTAGTGAAGTAAATTTGAAAAGCACAAAATTTTTTTCTCAGCGTTTGGCAGACATTTTAGGATAGAATTAGCAATTTTAAAAATAATAGAATTTAAAAATTTTTAATTCAAATTTTTGTTGAAAATACTAAAAAAATCCAATTTTGGAAAAATGACAAATAATTGCAGAAATTCAATTATTTTCAAGAGTGATAAAATTCTTCTCATAATTCAATTATCTTTTAAATTTAAAAAAAGTTTTCTTCAAAATCCCAATTATCTTTACAAATATATAATATAACAAAATTCTTCTCCAAAGTTCAATTATTTTCAAATTAATTTCAAATTCCAAAAAATAGTACCCAAACAATTTAATTATTTTCATAAATAATAAAAATTTCTCAGGAATTCAATTATTTACAAATTTTTTTTATAAATTCCTTGGCAATAAAAAAAAACAAAATCATACACAAAAACTAACTTTAAAGTGTGGACAGACAGAATGAAAGAATGAAATACGAAGATTATTATAGTTAATAATTTAATATTTCACTATTTAATTCAATAGATGCTCCTTAAGTTCTGGATCTTCAAATCAACGAAATTTATTTATTTCTTCTTCAAATTAAAATTTTATTCCAATAATTTTGCGTCAGGTTTAAAAAAAATTATAAAGTTTCTAAATGATTAATTTAATTTTTATTGCCATCAGAACTGTAGGAAAATATTTATAATAAAAAATATTTTGTTCAATTGACGGACTATTTGTCTATTATCAAAAAAATATTTACTTGAGTCAAATAATTTTTATTTAAATCAAATAAATGTTATTTGCTTCAAATACAGAAATTTCTTATTGTTTGAAATACAATTTATTTGTTAATAAATTAAAAATATAAATATAAATCACAACGAAAAATTATTTAATTCAAGTAAATATTTATTTGTTAAAAAAGATAAGTGATTTGTTTGGGTAATTGGGTTTTTTTTGTAATTAATTTTTATATAATAATAATAATTCTAAGTGACTAATTGGTCGAGGCAAAAATTCAATGAGAAATTGGATGAGGAATATTTTTTTTCTCGCATCTCTCGGTACAAAAATATAATTAAATGCAAGTGAAGAAGAATATTTGAGAGGAATTCGAAAAGGGAGTTCTCTGCTTCCAATCTCGTTTGATTAGATCAGAAAAAAATCAAATTCGATCGATTTTATTTGCATTTGATAAACTAATTGAACGTTAAGATTGGAATTTCAAATCTCAAAGTCTTTGTAACGTTAAAGATTTTCTTTCAGTTTTTTTTATATAACAAGAAAATAGAAAATTCCGTTAAATAGATCTTGTCAATTTTCAATTACTTTGAAATTTAAATATCCTTTCCTTGTTTAAAAGTAATTATTCATCTTTATAAGAGAAGCTATGTCGCAGTATATTCAAAATTTATATTTTTAGATAGAATAATGTTTATTATTCAGAATTAATATATTTATCTAATATTTATAAATTAATTGTTTGTAGGTAAATTTTAGATTTGGATTTTTTTTTGCGTTTTCTTTTTGAAAATTTTTTTTTCTATTTTTTCTATTTTTTTCTGCTTTTCAGTGGTAAAGTAAATCTTTAGTCAGAAATCAAGATTTTTTTATGGTATTGATGTAAGTAGTGAAGGTAAAGTTCAGTCAGACCAAAAAAGTTGAAATTTTATTTTCCATTCATCTTTGAAATACTATTTTTGCAATTAATTGTAAAAAGTTTTACTCTCTAGTAGAAAGCTTTGGTCAGATGAGAGAACTTTTCTAAGTTAATAATTAAAAATTCCCCTTAATCAGACAAGATGTTTTTTTTATTTTTTTCTAACTTGTTTCACCAGCAGTAAAATAAAGTTTTAGTCCAGTGACTAAAGAATTAAAGTAAAGTTAGAAAAAAAAGAGACGAAATTAATTTTGTAAAATGTCTGCATTCAAAATAAGATATTTCTTACAGCTAAATATAAAATGATATAATCTTGAGATATTGTTAAAAGCTTTAGATTCTTGTTGGAAAAGGTAATTGTGCAAGTTTTACAGCTCAAGCAGCTCTTTGTTTGATAAATCTGTCTCCGCAACCAAGATTTCCCGGGAGATTAAGTCCTTGAGATTTAATGGCATTTGTTGTACTATTTACTGCTTTGCGCCTCATAAATAAAATATTGAATTGTTCTTTTTCTTTCGGCTTTTTTTTTAATCTCCATATAAGTAGTTTTTAACGAGTGCTTTATTATTATTTTCAGAAACACAAAAAACTTTTTTTTTTTCTATTTTTATATGGAAATTTGTTAACTTTATTTATTATACTTTTTGCTGTTTTTTATGACAATTGAAACTCCATTCTACTACTTATACTTAAATATACAAAAAAATACTTGTCTGACTTAAAATCGACTTTAACTACTTAAAAATCATAAACAAATGTCTAAATAAAACTTTCTTTCACTACTGATAGTTTAATTCCCTTAAGAAAGCCTTGGCTGACTTGAAATTGACTTCAACTACTGATTTGAACATTAATAAAAAGAAAAAATTTGTCTGACTGAAACTTAATACTATTACAGATAATTTTCTTAACTGGAAAAAAATTAGCCTGGTTTGAATTTTAAAACCGACTTTGAGTATACAAAAATTTTATTTACTGACGTCGAATAAAATTCAGTTGGACTAAAAGTTTACTCTTCTTTAAAATTAAATTCGTCTATTTTAGAGAAAGTCTTGTCTGACCTATAACTGACTTCTACTACTGAAAATTAATTTACTGACGTGAAATAAAATTCTGTTTCTTTAAAAGTTTTTCTTTCTATAAAATTAAATTCGTCTATTTCGGAAAAACTCTTGTCTGACTTAAAACGACTTTAACTACTGAGAAATTGTCAAGATGTCTAATTAAAATTTCATTCTACTACTAATACTTTATATTTTTGAAAATGACTTGTCCGAATTTGAATCGACTTCACCTTTTTTTCAATTATTATAAAAAAATTTTTAATTTGTCTGACTGAAACTTTGTTTTACTACTGATAATATATAATTCACTGAAAAAAGACTAGTCTGACTAAAAATCGATTTCAACTACTGAAAAATTGTAAAAAATGTCAGACTGACTGTTTTTAGTTAAAGCAATTTTTTCTCATATTCATTAAACTGGCAGAAATATAAAAAAGTGTGAAATAAAGTGTTTACTTTTGTTCTTTTGTTCTTTTTTTCTTTAATAAGAGAAAATAAATGAAGATGATACAAATGTTTTTTGTGAACATGTATTTTGTACTGCGCTTCATTTAGCCAAGCGTTTTGTACGCCTGTTAGTAATTACCGATGGTCTGTAATCTCCACACAATCATAGTTTACAGGAGCCAAGCTTGCTTGACTCTCTCCCTCTCTCTCTCTCTCTCTCGCTTGCTTCGATTTACTGCAAGGCGTGGAACGCAATAACTATCTGGTACTATATCTACCATACAAGCCCAGTAACCATTTAATCATGGCGAGTAAATGTATGAAAGGTTTCTGATTAATAATAGTAAACTATTGTTCTTTGAAGGGCGAATAAATTATACCCTAAACTAGAGGTGTGCAAAAAGCTCGAATAGCATGGTCGAGCTCGAGTTTTAGTTACTCAAAAATATTTGAGTGCTCGAAAAATTTAAGTGCTCAAAATTATTTTAGATTTAATACTGCACGTGTCGGATGGAATTTGGTTCAAGTTCGGATTGATTCTGCTCAGCTCTGCTAGAAAAACGAAAAGCTTGAAAATGCTCGATCGAGCTTTTTGCACAACTCTACCCTAAACTATCATGGGTGTGTTCATGTAATATAACTTTACGGTCAATCAGTCTCGTCTATAAAGTAAGAAGAAAAGAAATATTCCACAAAAAAAAAATAAAATTTAAGAAAAAAAATTAATTCAGAAGAAAAATTTAAAAATTTTTAAATTGTAGTTTATGTTAAGTAATAGCTGTTAATTTTTTCTATTTTAATTAACTAATGAAACTGAATTTAGTTTAATTATAATTTAGTTTAGTTGAGTTGCATTAAATTTTGTAGAAAATTTTTTTCACTTATTATTTTTATTGAAATTAAATGGTAAAAATTATTTCATAAAATTAATTAATTTTATAAAATAATTTTAATGCGCGATGCTACTGAAAATTATTAATAGCAAAATTACAATTAATCGAAATTTCTCGGTTGCTTTAATACACTCAACATGTTTCACTGAATTCATATTATTTGAATACAATGTATATCTGTATGCATTAGAATTTTTATTCGATTCACGTCAAATATTAAATGAAATATTTGTTAATGGCCCTACAATTATAATTTATTATCATTCACTCTATTTAAGTGATTTATTATATCAAATATATTTGTACAATTGTGATTTAATTTTACGAGTAATGTTCAATTAATGAAAGTGTCATATCAAATTTTCACATGACTATCTTTTTATTGCGACAAAAAAAAAATGATTTCCTCTTCAACGATTCAAATATTAATTATACTGATACGTCGGATTTAATTCTTTTTCAAAATATCGAAATTAATCGAAAACTTTTTTTTGGTTAACTAAATAACTTAATGAAATACCATGAATTTATTTTTTAAATTTAAATACAGTTTAGAATAGTATTAACTTTGATAGATGTACATGAAAGTTTTCATAAAAATTGAAAAAAAAATTAAGAAACTTTGTCTGACACAACTTTAATTCTACTAATGGTATTTTTTTTACTAGAGAAAGATTTGCTTGATTTTAAACCGCTTTCTATTACTAAAATTTCATTAAATGATGTTGAATAAATTTCAGTTTTACTAAAAATTTTTCTTTCTTCAAAATTAAATTGGCCTGTTTTAGAAAAAGTTTTAGGCTAACTTAAAACCGACTTCTACTACTGAAACTTAATTTACTGACGTTAAAATAAATTCAGTTAATGTAAAAGTTTTTTAGTTTTTAAAATTAAATTTACCTGTTTTAGAAACAGTTTTGTCTGACTTAAAACCGACTTCTACTACTAAAACTTTATTTTTTGACGTCGAATAAAATTAATTATCACTAAAACTTTGCTTTTCTTTAAAATTAAATTCGCCTATTAAAGTCTGGCTTAAAATTGACCTCTACTACTGAAACTTAATTTACTGACGTTGAATAATATTTAGATACACGAAAAGTTTTTATATTTTTAAAAAAAATTAAATTTAAAGGTTTTAGAAAAAGTTTTGTCTGACTTAAAAATGACTTTTACTACTGAAAAATTTTTTTTGACGTCGAATAAAATTTACTTTCACCAAAAGTTCTTCTATTTTTACAATTGAATTCACTTTCTTTGGAAAAAGTCTTGTCTGACTTAAAACCGACTTCTACTACTAAAACTTTATTTTTTGACGTCGAATAAAATTAATTTTCACTAAAACTTTGCTTTTCTTTAAAATTAAATTCGCCTATTAAATTCTAACTTAAAATTGACCTCTACTACTGAAACTTAATTTACTATAAACGTCAAATAAAATTGAGTTTCATTAAAATGTTTTTTTTTCAGAAATAAATTCGCCTATTTTAGAAAAAGTTTTAGTCTGACTTAAAACCGACTTTACTACTGAACCTTACTTTACTGACGTCGAATAAAAATCACTTTCACTAAAACTTTGCTTTTCTTTAAAATTAAATTCGCCTATTAAAGTCTGACATAAAATTGACCTCTACTACTGAAACTTAATTTACTAAACGTCAAATAAAATTCTGTTTCATTAAAAGTTTTTCTTTTTTTAGAAATAAATTCGCCTATTTTAGAAAAAGTTTTGTCTGACTTAAAACCGACTTTACTACTGAAACTTAATTTACTGACGTTATTAAATATCTTTTTTATTTTTGAGACGCATTAGAAAAGATTCTTATAAGTAACAAAAATTCATTTAATGTAAGTTACTAATAGAAAAATATTATTAAAAAATGTCCTTGCTTAGAATCAAAATGATTATGTTTCTTATTTTTTGAAGCTGAAATAAAATTTCAGTAAATTTTATTAGAATTAGTAAATTTTGCTCATAAATTAGTATAAGCTACTATTTATTAGTAAAATTTACTAATTCAAAAGCAAAAAGTCAGTGACTAATTCAAATTTACGGATTAAAATCTGAAATTGTTAGAAATATTTGTATCGAAAAAAATTGTCGCCCATTTGAATGTTCAAAACTTATCAGTAAATTAATATTTATTTTAATGGTGGGATAATATTATTAAAGGTTAATTTTCAAAGAAAATTATTCAATGTTATAAATATAAAGAAGGAATATTCATCCATTGCCATAGAGGATTGTTAATTTCATTGTAATTTGAATTTTGAGTTTATACTATTTTGCTGGGAATGGAAAGTGGTTTTCCAAGGCAGCAAGTAGCAAAAAGGTTTGAATTTATCGTTCCATAACAAAGCAAACCACTTACGAGCAGAAGCAATGTGCAGCAGTGAGAATGAATTTCGAGTTGAGAATTGTGCCACCGCACCAGTGTCCTCCTTTCCTTGTGATGCTCACCAGCCAAGGAAATTCACGTGGTATGGCGTCCTGCCCTCCGACCACTCGGGCGTTACGACGTATCCCGGTTGCACCATGACCGCAGGGGACATCTGCCACTGTGATCAATTGCGAATTTCCGCGTTATTCATTTGTCACAAGTATTATAATTAATTACAACTAGTGAATTCTCGTTTATATTATATATGTATTTATATATATATAAAGATATATAGAAATACATTTATAGAGAAAATTTTCAATTGTTGCGTAATCAACGAGAGGGAATAATGTTATTTGATTTTCAAACAAAACTAAATCATCGCACTGCCTGCTGCCTTCATATTTGAACAATTTTCCAGCTCTTCTATTATTTTAATCATGAATCAATATAACAATTATTGTCCAGAAACCAGAAACGGATTCCGTTCATCATTATTTATAATATAATGCAAATGGACAATTATCTCAAACGCAAATTTGTAAAATCAATTATTGTGGTGATTTGAAATTTATTTTTATTATTTTAATTAGAAGGGATAACTTTTTTTTTGGTTAAAAGTAGAATTTGTTTTATTTAATTTAATACTTTTAGAGAATTTTTTACTTTTAATTTTGATTTAATTTAGGAATATTTAGTTTTGTATAGAGAAATTCAATAACTAGTTTTTATTTGAAAAGTTTTGTGTTTAATAGCGAGAAAATAGTGTGGCTGACTTAAACTGAGTGTAACTACTGATATTTATTAACAAGATTGTAACGAATTTGTCTGACTACTTCTGTCTTTCACTACTGATAGAAAATTCCATTGGGAAGTCAAACTAGAAAAATTTGTCATGACTGATGGAGTTTCATTTGATGATATTGATAAAGTTAGAAAAATTTCAGTCTGACCTAAAACTGACTTGTACTACTGATACTTTAATTCACTAAAATAAGACTTGTATGACTTAAAATCGACTTGAACTACTGAAAAAATGTTTAAAAAAAATAAGTTTGACTATAACTTCCTTATGTAACTGATTCATTAGTCTATCGAAAAAAGACTTTCCTGACTTAAAATCGACTTAAACTACTGAAAAATTATAAAATAATGTCTGACTGAAACTCTTTTTCACTACTGATATTTTATTTGATTAAAGAAAGAAATTCAGTTGCACTTAAAGCTTACTTTTCTTTAATATTAAATTCGCCTATTTCAGAGAAAGTCATGTCTGACTTATAATTGACTTCTACTACTGAAACTTAATTTACTGACGTCAAAAAAAATTCAGTTACTCTAAAAGTTTTTCAGTTTTTAAAATTAAATTCACCTGCTTTAGAAAAAGTTTTGTCTGACTTAAAACCGACTTCTACTACTGAACCTTACTTTACTAACGTCGAATAAAATTTACTTTCACTAAAACTTTGCTTTTCTTTAAAATTAAATTCGCCTATTATTGTCTGACTTAAAACCGATTTCTACTACTTAACTTTAATTTATTGACGTCGAATAAAATTCACTTTTCTTTAAAATTAAATTCGCCTATTATTGTCTGACTTAAAATCGACTTATACTACTGAAACTTAATTTACTGACGTTGAAATAAATTCAGTTAATGTAAAAGTTGTTTAGTTTTTAAAATTAAATTCACATATTTTAGAAAAAGTCTTGCCTGACTTAAAACCGACTTCTACTACTGAAACTTAATTTATTATGGGGTCATCTGTATATTACGTAACACTTCAAGGGGAAGGCGATGGGTCAAGAAATGTGTGTCAACCTGCAGAGAAATTGGTGCCAATGTATCTAACAGTTTTCGACATGAGGGAGGGGGGGGGGGGGTAAAAAAATGGTCAAAAATAGTGAGAGACAAATAAGTTTAGAAAATAAAATCTGTTTTTGTATAAATTACATAATTATTATAGTATATAAAATTTTAAATTACAAAATTAGTTTAAACAGTTTATTCTGTACACATATATATAAATTATGAATTACAAAATCAGTGCAAACAATATATACATATATACATGTATGCATCTATATGTATATAAATTTAAATAAAGCGTGTATTTGAAATGCTAGAATATATTTCCCATGTACAGTGGGGAGAAGTGAACAATAACAGTTACCGCAATTGCGGTAAACATACGAATAACGGGTCTACAACCATAGAGCTTTACCACAATTACAATAACCTGCACTGTACGTTGCAGGCCGTCGCGTCTCTTCTCTTAGTATTCTCAGAATTTAACGAATAAGCTCTACGCTTTAAAAGATAATAGTTTTGAAGTGCACACTGTTATTAACTTTGAAATTAAAAAATGAAAAAAAAATACTAAAAATTTAAGAGCTTTCATATACGTTAATCCAAGAAAATGGTCATTTTGAGGTCAAGTAAAAGCCAATTTTGAATTTCTCCTCGCAGAAAAAAAATTTCTAACTCTAAATTAAAAAAAATTGTTGTAAAAGTTTTCCTCATATACTACTATGTGAATTAGTAGCTTTTTTTTATTTCATTTATTTTCTTTAATAAAATAAATTCACAGTTTTCTTAAATATATATGAAATTAATACTAAAAAAGAACAAATTGACAAAAATTTGAATCAATTTTTTATTTGATCCACATTTTTGGTATCAATTCGTAACAATTTGATACTATTATATGTTAACAGTGTTTTAAATTTCTGTTTATAAGAAAAAGAGTAAAGCAATGTTTGTAATTTGTAATATTTACTTTGATATTAGTCATGTGGGAGAATTTCGACCTATTCTATCTTCTATTCACATTTTATGAAACTAAACACAAATTAGGCAAACCGATTGGCATTTGCAATTCGAGGTTTGCTTGGGAAATTCCTAATATTCATTCCATCAGAATACGATTTCATCTCGACACTCTCTCTCGACCAATACGATTGCATTTCAAATATTTCCATTATGATGTAGGTTGCGAGTAAATTGGTATTCAAGGTCTCTGTTTAATTAAGATGTTGTAAACTGTTCGCATTCATTGTGTTATTAATACCCAAAGAGAGTATTTCCTACCATACTCGACTCATTGTGGAAAATCGTATTTAGATGAAACGGTCAATTAAGCTGAGAATACTTCATATTTATTCGAGGAGATTATAATACGAAAGTTGCACATTAAGTTTTCAATCAATAGAGACTTATTAATACAATAATTAGTAGTACAAGTAAATTTTACTTAGACTTCAATTTTTCACACTTTATTTTTAATTAATTATTAGAATTTTTTTTATTTTTCTTATTACTTTTATTTGTCTCTATTATTTGTTATAATATTCTTATTGTTATTCTTATTTTTATAATTGTTATTATTATTATTATTATTATTATTATTATTATTATTATTATTATTATTATTATTATTATTATTATTATTATTTTCTGTAATTTTTAAGTAATACTCGACAGTATTGGTCAGACATTTATTATTCATCCAATTTCAGAAATTTTAATTCTAGTAGTAAAGAACATTTTAGTCAGACATCTTCCCACTTCTCGTAATTTTAGTTTTATTAATAAAATTTCATTTTTGTCAATCATCTATAGTGTCACCTAAACAATAATTACTATTTAAATAACTAAATTTCATATTAGTGGTACCAATAATTTTTAGACGCTCTTTTATATTTATTTTCAAAACAATTCTACATTACACAATTGTAGACTACACTATTTAGTAATTTTAAGTTTTGGTCATTGGATTTTTTTTCCAAACTTCCGTAAACCCAAGGGCTTGTCACAGTAATAGAGGAAGGTTTAGTCCAGACATAAATTCGTTGAACTTCTACAATTACAGTTGCAGTAGTAGAGATAAGTTACAGTCAGACATCCTAACCAATTGCAACGTAACTTTTAGCAGAAACAGTAGTCAAAGTCAGTCCTTATTAGACAAAAAGTTCTTTAAGTCTTTTTTTCAGTAGTAAATGTTTAATTTAGTCAGACAAATTCTCGAATTTTGTAATTTCATTATAAGTGGTAAAGGTTATTTTATGTCAGACGTTGTAACCAAAAGCTATAATACTTTTACAGGTCATTTATGTTAATCTATCGCGATGAGGGTTGTCTGACTTAAAATTGACTTAAACTACTGAAAAATAAGAAAATAATGTCTGGCTGAAATCTCCTTATTCTACTGATACTTTAATTCACTGAAATAAGACTTTTTTTATATAAAATCGATTTTAACTACTAAAAAATTATTAAATAATGTCTGGCTGAAATTTCCTTACACTACAGAAATATTATTTCACTGAAAAATGGCGTGTCTGACTAAAAATTGACTTCAACTACTGCGATGTTATAAAATATTTTCTGACTAAAACTTCCTTCTAATAATGATGCTGAAATTTTAGTTTACTGGAAAAATACTTGTCTGACATATAACCGACTGTGACTATATACTTAGTTAAAAATTAGAAAAATTTGTAAAAAATAAGTCTGAATGAAAGTCCCTTCTACTACTGATACTTTAATTTATCGAGAAAAGACTTGTCTGACTTAAATTTGACTTTAACTACTGAAAAATTGAAATGTCTAACTGAAACTCTCTTATACTACTGGTACTAAAATCGATACCGAAAAAAATTTTGTTTGACTAAAACTCGACTTCAACCATTAACAAGTCTTACAATATTGTCTGACTAAAACTCTCTTTTACTACTGATGATGAAATTTTAATTCTCTGGAAAAACTTCCTTTTACTACTGATTCTGAAATTTAAATTTTCCAAAAAATACTTGTCTGACTTAAAACTGACTATAACTAATAATAATAGAATTTAAAAATTTGTAATTCAAATTTTTGTTGAAAACACTAAAACAATTTAATTTTGGAAAAATTAAAAATAATTGCAGAAATTCAATTATTTTCAAGAATGATAAAATTCTTCTCATAGAATTCAATTATCTTTCAATTTTAAAAAAAATTCTGGTCAAAATTCCAATTATCTTTATAAATAACAAAATTCTTCTACAAAGTTTAATTATATTCAAATCAATTTCAAATTGCCAAAAATAGTACACAAACAATTTTATTATTTTTATAAATAATAAAAATTTCTCAGGAATTCAATTATTTACAAATTTTTCATAAACTTCTTCGCA